CCCCTGCCCTGCCCCCACGTTACACTCTAGTTTGTATGCTTAGAATCCTGAGTCAGAACGCCCATCAAGATCATGCATTTTGCCCGTGGAAAGATACTCACATGGATTTTACTAGTTTATGTCATTCACGACAACTTTCTAAGTCATAAAGTTCAATTGCTTCACTTATTTCCTACGTGCCCGCTGCTTGAAGACAAGGATCCTATGCTGAAGAATAAACGCCAGGACTATGAGGTGTGAGGAAACAAAGCGCCCTCCACACGAGCACAAATAGTTAAAATTATACCTATTGTAAAGGAGATTCATTTTCCTTCTTTTACCAAGAATCCTACTGCTTACTAAGATAGCTTAACGTGATTAAGTGAAATGAGAATAATAAATAATATATAAAGTTTAATTAAAAAGGAGAATTAACCGATTTGAATAATACTAGAGGACACTGTCAACAGAGAGGTCTTACTCTTAGCCCCCAGGTTACGAACGCGCAGCCGGCTCAGCAGTTGCGTTTGGCGCATCTGTGGGCTGCTCGGACAGTCTCTCTGGGTGCCGTGCGGATTTATCCGGTCCACTGTGGTAGCTGGGAGCCCTGCAGAGCTGCTGAGCGGAGAGACATGACTTGAAGCCCAAGATGTGCTACAGATGTAAATCATGTTAAGGATTCAAAGACGTGAGAAAAAGGTGTGCTGATTATCCTATAAAAATTCTTATAATGCCACACACTGGCTCATAGTATTTTGCTAGATAACATTAAAATTAATTTGACCTCTGTCTGTTGCATTTTATTTATTAATTATATTTATTTATAGTGTATTTGACTGTTATAGCGTCTCACTACACAGCTTGGACTCTTGGTGATTCTCCTGCTTTCAGCTTCCCCAGAGGTGGGATTGCAGGTGTTTGCCAGTATGCCAGGACTCTGGCCAGCTCAGCCCTGGGGATGGGGCTGGCACAGCAGGTGGTGCCAGGGATTGAACTGCAGTCCCTGCACTTGCCTAAGCTTGCCTATGCAGGTGCTTTCGTCCACTGAGCTATCTCGCCTGCCCCCTTATGGCATTTTTAATGTAGCCACTAAGGTAATTTATAATTACCTCTGTGGTTCCCAGAAGGTTCTATGGAAAACTTCTGGTCTAGGGGCTTCTTTCCCAAAACATGATGATGCAAATACCTTCATCCAAACAAGTTCCCCAGAACTGAACATTCCTGTAATTACTGGAATTTGAGCAAAAAATTATATGTGATGCCACATTACAAAAAGCAACACTATCATGTGGGTTTGCACTCAGCTGTGAGAAGTAAGAACACATTTACTACCGAGTGTGGTGTGATTCATGGATATTATTTAAATTGCTTTTCTCAACACCCTTGTGAAGTCCTGGTGCCTTGCTTTCTCCACTCCACAGATGAAAAGCAGGCTTAAGGGCCTAGCACGGGCAGTGGATCCTGATAACTGGCCTGTTTGCTCTGTCTGGTTTTCTAGCGACTCAATGTGAACATAAACTCACTCATTCCACAATTATTTCCTGAGCCTCATGGGGTGAATCAGAAATTGAAGTTCTGAAGGAGCCCCAAATGGCACACGATCCTTGTTTCCAAGAGGCCAGGAAGTGAACCCTGCATGGCCAGAGGTGCCCACTAGGAGAGGCTTGCAAGGGGAATTCCAGGGCTTGGACCTCTCTCTAGCTGGCGAGTAACAGCATGCACAGCAGACAGAGGTCATGGGAGCTGCAGCCAGGGGCTGGCCCATGAGAAATTCCCCCAGGGCCCGCTGTACATTTCGCACAATAATGATGGATGTGCACAGGCAAGAGGGAAATTCTCAGCCGGACTTTCATGGACGGAATCTGTGCTATGTCCGCTTTGCAGCGTCCTCCTTCTTGGCACATTGCCGGCTCTGCAGCAAGCTTTCGCCAGCTGTGTTCCTGATGTGCATCTTGCTTTAATTCTGCTCCTTGCCCTCCACTTGCAGTGTTAAGCCACCGGGGAAATTAAAACCAAACATCAGGCAGCAGCCCACAAGACGGGGAGAGCTGAGCACCCCTCCAGCCCTGCCCTCCCTGATGTCATGGGGTTTGCTGTCGCTTCCTCATTCTGAGGGTGACGGATGGTCAGTGGAGACAAGCACAGGGACAGGCACAGGCTGTGGCAATGCTAAAGCCCCAGCAGGACCAACCAGGATGTGGATGTCCCTGGGCCTGACCATGAATAGCCGGAGGCCGAGGCTTGCTAATGAGACCCTGGAGACCCCCAGTGCTCCTCACAGAGGGCGAGCCTCAGATCTAAGGGCAGCTTGCTTTCACTGCTGCTGCTAAATTTTATTCTGTATTTTAAAAGTTATGGGTAGGGTGACCAAAGCATCCATGGAAAATAATTAAAAATAATCCAACCGAATGCACTACAGCCCTGTATTAAAATGATTATGTCTATGAATATTTTTATTAATTAAGTGGTGCCCGCAACCAGAGACCTCGGTGGTGCCGTGCAAGTGGCTCCCACTGAGCAGCCCCCAGCACCGTGTGAGGCCTCAGACTCCAGGGCACGCTCAATTGCACATCCACATCGGAGTACTTAGCAACAGTCTCCATGCGTGTGCGGGGCCTACCCAGAGTGCTGCTATGGTTGACGATGCTCCACACTCTCTTAGCTTTTCCTCTGTTGATTCATATGCACATGCTCATGAAATGCAGTACTGTCAGGTCAGTTCTCTGGGATGGACTGTGGAAAGGAGGTCCCCAGCTGTAGCAACACCTCACCGAACTGCTAGACCAAGTTGGTGGCCAGCGATCCCCACCAGCCACCAGGCACCCCGAGGGTCTGTGCTTCCTCCTGCGTTCAGCAGCAGCAGCATCTAACCTTGTGTGTGATTCCTTAATAACTGAGAAATTTGAGCACACACGCATATATGTTAGCATTACTTACTTTGAGATTTGCTTATTCATGGCATCTACTCTTTGGTATATTCAGGATGTCTATAAATTAACATATTTTTTCTTTAGGGAACAAAGATATTCTTTTGTAATATCTATTACAACTATTTTACAATAAACTTTGCCTATAATTGTGAATTTGATTTCTAGGCCAGAAAACATTTAAATATCTAGGTAGTTAAGATGCTTAATTTTACATTTTGTACTCTGAGTTCATTTGAGAAATTATTCCTCATCAAGGGATATGATTAATTTTTTAATTCAGTCATCCTATGTTTAAGGATATGCAATATTTTAGTACATTTGGAATTTATTGTGCCTTTTGGGAAAGTATAAAATGATGGATTTTGGGCCAAGGAGATAGCTTGTTGGTCTAAGCACCTGCCTGGTAGGCACAAGGAGCAGCGTTTGAGCCCTGGCACTGCATGCTGGGCCTGCCCTGTGCCACGCTGGCCACTGCAACCAGGCCTGGTGGTGCACAGCGTAATCCCAGCACGGGGCGGCTAAGACAGGAGGATCACTAGGAATCCACGCTGCGTAGTGAGGCCCTGCGCCTAATGCATAAATAATTTAAAAAAATGATAGATTTCTCTGAATGGCCAAGAATATGATGAACTTGTTGCCAAACTCTAGTTCTGTTGAAAAAGGAAGGATTCCAGTCTAGGTGATGAGTGGGAGGACCTGTTCC